CATACACACACACACACACAGGGTTGTAGAATAGAATGTTTTTTTTTTTTTTTCTATTAAAAAAAATAAATATGGGCGTGTAGAGTTTTTCAAACACCACACGCCCATTTTTTTTTTTTCATCCATTAAAGAAAGTAAGGAAAAAAAAAAACACCTTGACGGCGCCGACGCCAATTTTTATTTTTTTTGTTCAATGGTATAGGGTGCCATTGGGTGCAGTTCCTAATGACATCCGGATAGAACTGTGTGGTGGCTATATATATATGGGGCCTGTAGTTCATTGTCTGGGCGTGGTGTTCGAAGTTCCCGTTCGACAAGGTTCGTCCAATTCCGCTTCCACCAGGGCTGGGCAATCTATCAGCCCTGGTGCCTATCACTGCTGTTCGGTCCAAGTTGCCTGCTCGTTGGTAGGGCAATGGTCCTGAGTGCTGGTCACACTGAAGTAGAATAGTGGGATAGGGGGTGCGCTAGGAGTATTGAGGTGAGGATGGGTTGGGAGGTGGTCTCATGTTCCAGGACACCCATGGCTCACAGTTCCAGGTGATGATTGTGCACACACTAACTGACCTCTACAACACCCTGGAACATGGTCCCACTAACGAGATAGGATAGAAAAAAGTTTGTGTGGCTGTTGAGTGACTCAAATCCTGCCGTGCAGTATGCGTGATCCCACGGTCAGTATTTTACATGTATTACCCGAAAAAGTAAGGACATCTCCTCCTCTCCTTAACACTAGGCTTGGTGCAGAGGAAGCTTCCCGCCAAAATCTTTTCAATCCGTTGGGGGGTATGGCCAACCCCATAGGCCCACTGGTTAGAAGATTTTCAGTACTTTGCTTGCTGTTTTGCAATTATCTCATTGGGCGGAGCCCTCCTTCAATCACGGAGTGTATGGAGGGCGTCAGGATCACTGCTGACAGAAGTTTTTGCTATTCCAGAAAATGTGGCAGTTACTTTGTTCACTGTTGTTGCAACCACCAGCATCATATCATTTGTGATCTGATGGTCGGGAAACACTCTGCCGTAATTTCAGGTGGGAGGTCTCTGTTTCTTTTTTTTTTTTTTTGCCATCCTCCTGTTTTCTCAGCCCAAATATTCGTAATGAACCTGTCAGCCCGCTGCCGCTCAGTGTCACACTGGATCGGCCACATTCCTATCCGACTGCTAATGGGACCATGCTCTTGGACTTTGTGGTTAGCGGTTAAAAAAAAAATCGACGGGATTCAACGAGATTCAATGGGGATTCAACGGTGGGATTCAACGGGATGAATTTTTTTTTTTTGCCACGCGCGTCCACCTACGTGTCCGAGGCCCAATGCGCCCTCCCCGTTGAACAGTATTCAACGGGGAGGGCCCGTTGTACTATTGAACGGGGATTCAACGGGGCCCCGAGGGCTATTCAACGGGTACAACGGTGTTGAAACTTTTCCGTTGGACGTTGAATAGACACATAGCCAGTCTCCATTAATTGATCCAAATGGCGCCAAATGCAACCAGTTTCCCGATTATCCTTGGAACGGCCACCCTGCATGGACGACTATGAGAGCTCACCTTGAATTTGTGAGATAGAACCTGCGTTATGTTCATCAAAACTTAACCTTCTTTGTTTACCTGAACGGAGGATCTAGCTTTGTTAAGAGCTTCCCCTGATGGTGACGACTGAGCTAAAGGAGACTGGTGAGCAGCCGGTGACAACTGGGATGAAGATAGTCTGGCTGGAATGCATGTTGGGTTGTTGGACATTGATCGACTTGTGACAATGCCTTGTGGATGAGGTGCAAGTACCTGATGATTTCCTATTGCACTACTATTAGGGATGTAAGTTCATGTAACATGTACTAGAACCTTCGTGCGGAAATCGCGGGAGGCCGAATGGATGGAAAGTTGATTCAGCCGATTATCCTTGGAACGGTCACCCTGCATATATGCAGCACATGATGGCCGTTGAATCAACTTTCCATCCTTTCGGCCTCCCGCCATTTCCGCGCGAAGGTTCTAGTACATGTTACATGAACTTGCATCCTTACAGGCAGTGCAATAGGAAATCATCAGGTACGTGCACCTCATCCACAAGGCATTGTTACAAGTCGATCAATGTCCAACAACCCAACATGCATTCAAGCCAGACTATCTTCACCCCAGTTGTCACCGGCTGCTCACCAATCTCCTTCAGCTTAGCTGTCCCCATCAGGGGAAGCTCTTAACAGAGCTAGATCCTCCGTTCAGGGTAAACAAAGAAGGTGAAGTTTTGATGAACATAACGCAGGTTCTATCTCACAAATTCAAGGTGAGCTCTCATAGTCGCCCATGGACTCCTCGCGCGATATGTTATCTACTATTGGAACCCCTGGTTGTAAGACGACCAAACACAGAGTACCTGTTGCACTGGAGAGAGGACAATCCAAGGATCTAGAAATCCGCCTTCTCCCGCTGTTTCTCAGTCTCACCCACACCCGTAATGCCTGTTGCACTCGAGAGAGAACAATCCAGCGATCTAGAAATTTGCCTTCTCTCGCTGTTTCTCACCCACACCCGTAATGCTGCTTGGTTTGTTGGTTTTTCGGGGAATGACAGTGCTCGGGCCCTGGTTAGTATCCCATCAACTGATGCATAGATGGCCAAAACAGGTGGTTTTCAGGGTCTTCGGATCTTTCACCACTTCAGGACCATTCAGGATTTTCACACTGCCCAAAACTCTCACTTCACCACTTCAGGATGCAGCCTACCTAAACAGGTGGTTTTCAGGGTCTTCGGACCTTTCACCACTTCAAGAGCATTCCGAATTTTCAGACTGCCCAAAACTCTCACTTCATAATTTTCATTCCTGAATTTTCAACTACCCGTTAACCGCTTGTGGTCTAGCCGCAACTATCCTTCCAAGTCAAAGCGATCTCCATACCAATTTTGGAGGAAGGAAGGTTTGCAAAGTGGTTGGAGGCCTACGTGGCGCTCAATTTTTGCTTGGTGTAGGTCGTGTTCCAATGGTTTGAGTAGATCGATGAGGTGGACGAAGAAGAGGTTCCCAACAACAAAGTTGATCTGCTGATCATCCAAGTGTGGAGAACGAACGTGGAAGGAGAGTTGTTGCGGATCGTATTCGGAGCGTTGGGGACCAATCACCCTGCAATGGACCGATCACAGGGAAACTAATGGTGCTCATCACGCAACTCCTCGACGATCTGCCCCTGGACATCATCTTCTGCAGCGCATGTCACTTTGGAACGGACGTTAATGCTGCATGCCCCCAGCTGTTGTGGACGCATTGCTCCGAGTACGACGACCAAAACCGCTACGATCCATCTGCGGACAAGTACTTGGATTCGGAGGAGATAATTGAGCCGAATTTTGGGGGAGTGGTCGGATCGTTGGCAGACGTCAGCTCCGAGAGCGAGGCGGAAGAAAGTACCGAATCAGGATCTAGTGACCATGATTACAATGAACATTTGGAGGAGGAACGTGCGGCGGTGGACGAGGAAGCTCAGAAGCGAGCGAGAGAGCGCATGTAAGGAAAGAGTTCGATCCATCAGACGACACACGAGGATCCTACGAGGGATCGTGAGCCGTCCCGGGAGGAAGAAGAACGCGATGGTAGTGCCGCAGGAGCGGAATGCAGCAAAGCGCCGCGTTCGCCTACGTCGAGATGCTGGAGATCGGGCGACGACCCCGATCATTATCTCGTCGTCCCCTTGGCTATCTCACCCTCCTCCAGATCGAGGGCCGCCCGCCATTTCCCGACACTTGGCACCCTTTCCCCCCTTCCTCGTTCTACCAATACTACGCTACCCGCCTCGTGTGACGTCATCCCTCATCCGACTACCTAGTCCCTCGCCCCTCTTTTCCGCCTCCATATTCTTCTTCTTAGCGTGGCATGGCGAGACTATAATGATCGTGAAGTCTATTGCTTAATTACGAGGACAATCCCTGCATGTGATCATCACGAGCAACTCCGCACGGCCATCCTGCGCACTCTTTGTACTCTCTACCCCGACTACCTCACCTCCCTCCCCAATCATAATCGTCGTTTTCCCCACATCCATTAACTGGTCAACGGAGTGCGATCGTTGGCCTGCTTACTCCCTCCGCTCCCCCAATCTCCTCCTCCGCCTCCACCCCCCGTATTGAGAGTGCCATGCCCACCGAACCAGCAGCAGCAGTAACAATGGTAGCGGTAAGACGGGAACGAGAAAGCGACGGATATTGAACATCAAGAAAACGCAAGGCCATCCGGAAGGCAACGATCCTTACAAGCCGCGTACTCGCATCTCAATCTTCTTCTTCTTCTCCATCTCCTTCTCCCTGTCTCTCTTTCCTTCCTCCCTCCCCCATATCCATGGATATGATGCATGCAAGCAGGAGCTTGCATAAGATTGGAACCCCCTGGGCATCACATATGTGACGATCTATATTCTGATGACGTTCTGCGCGATTGCACTTTGGGGGTTGGGCGGAGGGACATGATCAAATTGCACAAGTGCCCCCATTCTTTTCCTCTTTTTTCTCTTTGTTTTGTGAAAACTTGGTCCCATGGCGGTTGGTAGTTAGGACGCGCCTTAGCGAGCGCAGAAACAACGGTTAACGCGGCTTCTTCCTTCTCCGTTTGGGAATGGTCCAAATGGGGGAAGGGAACTTCAGCGCCGGCATTGCGCGAGAAAATCGTTTTTTTTTTTTTTGAAATGTTGGGGGAAGAATACGGGAGCAATCAGAATTAGGACTCTTATTCGCTTAGGAGTTTGGGGTTGTTGTATTTTTATTTTGCAACTGCGCGATGCTCCTTACTCGTGCACGTTTTGCTCCGCTTTGTCCTGCACTCTACTTTCACCGCGCCTTAACTCTAATCTCAACTGTAATCTATTCTTGCTCACTTTTTTTATGAGTGCGAGTGTAACTGTAATCTACTTGTTCTTGGCTTCTCATCGTGCCGGGACCGGCAAACCCTTTCCCTCCATCTCATTGACCACAGCGGTGCATGCCTGGATTATTGCGTGGAGAGTGGCTACGTCCCCCACGTCACGGCCCAGGCATGCCAACCGCAGGTCCGCAGGCACTTCCTTCTTTCCTTCTCCCCCCTTGAAATAGCGAGTCAGCGTAATCTCGACTATCTCGTGCAGATGCTAATAGCTATAAATTTTACAAGCGCGACTAAATCTCTCTCTAATCAAACTTGGGAAGGTGAGCGTGGTAAAGAGGATCGGCTAATACATAGGAGCAAAGGAAGAGGTGAGTTCGGAGTTGGGCGATCTGACGAGCTGGTTGCGATTGTGCGGGGTTGACGTGCGGCCACGGCGGGACTGTGGAGCATGGGCGAACCCGGCTTGCGTACTCGAACTAAGCAGGGTGACGACTCTGAGTTGCTGGTAGGTGCGAGGCAATGGACCGCCTGCATCGAAACAAGGAGGAGGTTGGTGAAGTACTGAGAGAGTGCGGGGGTGGTGGGGTGTATGATACCTTTTGTCCTGTCCCTCTTGGATCTTTTGGTTTTGAAGTTGCGTCGTTTCCATTTTTGTAATTACAGATGGATGTTTGTATAAATCCTTTTCTTTCTTCGGAGTGCCTCTCACATTTCTTTCCTTTATGATTGATGTTGGATACGGTGATGATGGCATTGGTCATTTCTATTTTTGCATGTCTACTTCCTGATTATGATTGAAGAGCATGGATGTATGTCTAGATCGGACCGCTGAAATCAATGAAGAATAGTGAGGTTGGTCATTTTTTTGTTTATTGTCTGATAAAAGGGAACTTATACAAGCTCGTGCATGCACTATGACTCACCAACAACTCGGCCCGTCGCGTATACACGCGTTCGCATAACTTCTCCCTGTCGGGTCCGCAAGCACCAGTCTGCATGGATGGGAACGATAGCAACAACTCGGACCCATAGCACAAAAACTCGACATCTGTTCTCGATCGCAATTGCATGCCCCGACCGTCGGGGTCAGACCGAGGCTAACAACAGAAGTACAACCCCACGACCTAATCTAGGCGTCGTCTCGTACTTGCCACGCTGGGGATTCAGGAAGTCTATCCTTCGCCAGAGCATCTTGCATCTTTGTCCTTAGAACACTGACACCAGAGATCCCAGTTCCAACAGGGGACTCCACCCCTTTTTTTCCCTAAAATCCTTGGTTCACCCCCCTTTTCCGCTACTTCCAAACCCGCTACCCACTCTGATCAGGAAGTCGCACTGGCGGGAGGTTGGGTGTCACAGTGTCTCTAGCAAAGGGAAGAGATCATGAGACAGTTGCTCATGGGTATTGACAATCTCTTAGGAAGTAGCTTATGGAAAACCTCCTTAGTCATTCTATCATAGACTGCTATAACTTTGACCTGCAATCGCTCAGACGACATTTCAGACTTAATAGGTTGATATTTGTTCCATTCTGATATAAGTCTAGCTCTTTCCTTTCCCCATACTTCGTTAGAAACCGGATGTTCCGACGTCCAAGATCTTGCGTATTCAATGTGCTTCTTGAGGATTTTTTATTTATTATTTCTCTTATAGGAAAATTTCTCAAAAACACATGAGCATATTAGAAAAGATTTGAACTCCTTTGTCCCACCACTCGTGTTTAGTCTGAAACTCGTGTATGACGTCTTCTTATGACGACCAAAATTCCTGCATCCATTTGACAAGTCCAGGATTTTCCAAGTTTGTTGTTTTGAGGCGAAAGAGACCAGGGCCTCTCAACATTTTGTGGGTTAGAATCCTCAAGCTAACAGGCTTGTGGCCCGACATAGGATTACTGCATTCCTTGATTGAGGAAACCATTTCCCACATAGGAGATGAGATTAAGAAGAAATCAAGGCGTCTCCTAATGGTTCCATATTCTTTTTTGTTGTTAGCGTACCATGAGTTAGGTGGTATGGATCGATTACATCAAGCATAGACATCAGTGAGATCATAGCAGATTTGTCTACCAGCGGAGATGCTATTTGTCAACTGTGGGATATATCTAGAGACAGATTCCAGTCTCCAGCTAGTATACTCTGATTGTAGTCAGGGATAATGTACAGTAGCTCATCGACAAAAAAAAATTTCTCTCTGCTATCTGTTCGTGCATAAATACTAACAATCAGCCACTCTTGGTCTTCCATATATAATTTAATCCAAGCGCATCTACCCCATAGATCGGCATAATAATTGCCAATTTCGGCCTCCAAAGCCCTATGGATCAATATTGCGACGACTCCTCTTCAACCTTGAACGGGGGACCAGATTTGTGGCCCATCCCACCATACTCCTAGCTCGTTGATTTTTTCTTCACCAAGTTTTGTTTCCTAAAGGCAGGCTATATGTATGTTGTTATCGTGAATCCATGATTTCAAACTATCCTTCTTATGCTTTCCAATGAGTCCCCTAACCCGCACAGGTTCTATGTGGCTAGTGATAGTTTACCCATGAGAGCTTGTTGTGTCGTCTTGCTAGGATGGAGTCAGTGGCCACGGAGACGACGGATTGGATTGAACGAAAGGAGAGAGTAGTTTCGTATCTCTGGAAAGCTTGCCATCTACAGATATCAGGCATTCGACAGATTTGAGCGGGGGAATAGTGATGAGGGCCAAGGTGAAATTATGCTTTTCGACAATCAAGGACAACGGAAGAAGGCGGATGCCTTCTCTTTCCAGACTCTCTAACTGATCGGGTTCAAATCTGGCATCACAGATCGGAACAAAAAAAATATTTTTTTCCCATGGCTTAAATGGATTGTCAATAATAAGACGAGGCATGATTACATCTGGAATACATCTGAACTTTAATTTGTTAGGGGAAAAAAAAAAAGAACTTGAATTTGTTAGCAATGTGAGGTCGAATCAGCTCTGGCTCCGTGTGGTGCACTCGGATTTGATGTATGTCAATGCTCTCCATTTGGATGATCCGATCCCCCGAACGCGGAAGCCTTTGTCGCCACGTGTTCGCCAACTCACCCGCCCAAGCCTGCAACTGATTGAACGCACTAGCATGAATGCCTTCGTCGAGAGAAACAAGTCTCTGTTGAAGGAGACGATCACCGAGATGTGGCTGACTCCCAAGGGAGAGAGCCGCAAAAACGCCGATGCTTTAGCCAACACCCGTCCTTGAGTCCGGTTGTGGACGAATTTGAACTCAAGCACCAGGTGCACGCCAGCTGTCCTTAAGAATTGCGCAAATCGAAGCAAGTCTGGGTTGTGTTGTGGATGATGCACTTGTCGTATTGAAGAAATGAAGCCCCGTGGTGTCAACATGCAGCTGATTATCTGTTTCGCCACAAAACTTATGGTGATGGCGGTATAGAGAAGGTGAGGCTTCGAGCGAGGGAGAAAGAAGGGATTCCGGCTCCTGGTTGTCCCACTCAGAGGTCAGAGGTGAGCTAGGAGGCGAGGGAGGAGTGGAGACGGACAAAGGACGGAGATAGGACACATGGCGGATGATGGGTCGGGCTGATCGGCTGCTCGAGACCTCAGGGCAGGTCGCACCGTATTCACTCTTTTCGGACCAAGCTCCACTACGCGGAATCGGTCAAAGAATCGTGGCGCTAACTTATCTTGACGAACACATTTCCCTACCTGCACGATGTCCTCTAATTTATAATGGGGCTGAGGCCCACCATTCCCATTTCTGGCTTTGTAGCTCCGGACAAGTCGACCTCGGGCCAATTCCGTCATTCGATGTGTTTTTTGGGCTAGACGAGGGAGGGTATGTTCCATCAGCTTTGTGCCGCTTGGCCTCTTCCTTAGCCCTCGGCACCTCGCCTTCGTAGATCGTCAACCGAACGCCGTTTCGTCATTCAGGCTTGGCAGAGCGACGTAGGCTAGACTATCGGTTCGTAGTTGGAACGGGGACACTCTTGTGGACTCGTGAGGTGTCCCCAAATGAATGGCTAGGATATGATCTACAGTCTCGGGCCAGGGCCTCATGTCCCTAGCCGCGATAGGGCAGTTTTTATTACCCTGTTTGCATTCTCTACGAGGTCGTTCGATTGAGACATACGAGGAGCGATGTTCCGAATGGAGACACCATGTGCGACTAGGCTCCTCAAAACCTCCCTTCCGAATTCCGCCCCGTTGTGCATTAAGATCTCCTCGGTATCCTGATGCATTCGGAAGAAATGGTTGACGTGTGGCCCAATCTCCGCCGTCTGTCTCATCTTACATGGGTAGGCCTCGATCAATTTGGAAAAATGGTCTACGAATACGAGTAGGATTGAATACTCGCAGCTATTAGGGCGAGGGGGAACCACAACGCCCGTCGTATCCATGCTAACCCTTTGAAATGGTCGTTCGACTACGGTTGGAACCATAGATCTAGGCAACTGGATCGGCGCTTTGTCAGCCAAGTGGACTGGACAAATTTTGACGATGAATTTAACGTCGTCCCGGATATTGGACTAGTATTTTATTGATGGTTGACTCCGTGATTCGGACAGCAAAATGAGCGGCCATCTCTTCGTGGGCCGACTTTACCCAGTCATATCGCACGAATGGGTGCGGTACAGCCATCCAAATGCCGCTTTCGTCGGTTTTAGGCATTCCCTCGTTCCACCTCTAATCCCGCTCGCGTTCGTTGGCGCATCTGCGGTCTTCTGTCGAATATTCTCGGAGAGGGTTCCCTACAATTGCTGCTATCAACACGACATCTGTCCAGACTTCGGCGTGTCGAAATTTTTGCGTCTTTTCCAGTCCTTCTGAGGTGGCCTCGAGGAATTGAGCCTCCACCAGAATTTTATCGGTCTGGGATAAAGGGTAGAGCCACGACTTTTGAGGATTTTTATATTGGATACAGGACCCATAAGCCCTCGAGACATGTCTATCCCATTCTACCCAATCAACGTACCCTTCTCCGTGTGGACGCATAGGAACATAATAGACTCGCGAGATAACTTCACATAAATAACACTATCTATAGGGCAAAGAAAAAAAGAAGAGGAAGGGAGAGAGGAGTCTCATCATTACCTTCCCCATTTGTCACTTTCTTGTGGGTCAGGGGAGGACCTTCACTCCTTCGTAAGTGGGTCCCTTGGGAGACTTCCACGAAATGATCTCCTCACCTCTTGGCACCCTGCGTGGTCGATGCAATCTTGTCAATCCGTCGTCGTTTCTGTGTCGTTCGGTCTTCTGGTGGACGATGTCAAAGTCGTAGCCTGCGTAGCATCACCTTCGAACGCTCGGTACCGAGACCGAACGTGGCCCAAAATCGACCAAGCTCGAATATATATATATATATATTTTTTCCCCTTAAACATATATAGGAGTTGGGGGGCCTCTGGGGCATTGCTCATCACTCTTGAACGTATACAAACACATACACACACACACACCACACACGAGCACTTATACACACCCCACACCCACCCCATACACCACACTCACACGAGGACGTGTTTGGTAGCCCCCTGATTTGCACTCGGCCGAACACGTTCGGTTCCCGCTCGGTTGAGCGTCCGAACATGCTCGGCTGCTCGATGGGGAGCCGAACATGTTCGGTGTGCTACGCAGGTCGTAGCCTTGCAGCCTCACCGCCCAACGCCCAATCATGCACGTGTAATTGGTAAGCTTTTGGAGGGCCAGCAGCGGCTCGTGATCCGTGACCAACAAAAAACTTTTATCCGTACAGATACGGATGGAAGTGCTGAATTCCCCAAACCACCGCGCAGCATTCTCCCGGAGGCGCCGAGTCGTTGCGTCGCTCGTCTGCCACTGTCCGAGACACATATTCGAAAAAGTGTTCCTTGTCGCCCTATCCGTTTTGCGCCAAGATAGTGGAGATAACTTCTGACTTCCAATAAGTGATAAATATGAACGACTTTCCTGGGTCGGGCCGGATTAAAATAAGCGCCAAGGCCAGGGAATTTTTCAATGTAGAAATGCCTGCTCACATCCCACGTCCCAGTGCAATGGCTGGTCCTTTCGTAAGAGATTTGTTAGGGGCCGTGCGATTGCCGTGAAATCCCGAATGAATCGGTGATATTACGAGGCCATTCCGAAAAAGGCCCGGTCCTGTGTCAACGACGTAGGCGTGGGCGCATCCTGAATTGCCTCGATTTTCCGTGGATCCGGCCTCAGTCCACTACGTGTCACTATGTAGCCAAGAAACGAGATTTCCGAAAGGGCGATCTTGAACCCCGCGTCCCTTAGGGGCCCCAACATCCACTCCCCGTGCTGAGCATGTCCGTGAAATGAATCGAAATATACCAGAATATAGTCTATGTACACAATAACACGGAAGTTAATCATGCCCTGTGTCAGTCGCGTCTTGTTGACAAAAGTTTAAAAGTTGACGTTCATCGCTCTCTAAAAAGTCGCGGGTGCGTTGCATATACCCATGGGGCAGTGAATCAATTCCCACGTTCCTTCAAACAAAACAAACGCCGTTTTCAGCCTATCCTCGTTCTTGACCATAATATGGTGGAACCCGTGGCAAATATCAAATTTACTAAAATAATTGGCACATCCAATGGCATCCAGCAAATCATCAATTCGGGGCAGGGGATACACATCTTTATTCGTGATATCATTCAATTTTCGGTAATCAATGCAAATGGGGATGAATTTGTTCTTCTTTGGTACTAACACTACCGGGAAAGACCAAGGACATGTGGCCGGTTCAATCCAACCATTCTCCTCCAGCGTTGTTCTCTTTCGGCGAGAGAGACCGGTAGGGTTTGTAGTGAATGGGTGGACCGTGGATGATCTCTAAGTCTGAATCTCGTGCCGAATCATTTAAGACAATCCAATATTTGTATCATTGACACTACTCACCCCTTGGTATTTCCTTAAGATATTGGAGACCATTTGTTGAATGTTGTTTGGCACGTAATCTAACACATGTAAAGTGTAGGGTTGTCTGTTGATTACAACTTCTAATCGCTTCATGTGAGTCCGTTTCGAATTTCGAGTCGGAGGGGACGAAATGAACGAGTTGTCTGACTATAAGGAGAACACCGTCGCAATCATTTGTGCGTCGTCTTCTATGATCATCACGTGTTTTGCAAGGGTAATCCCATCCTCCGTGTCCCGGGGGCTTACCGTTTTTTCGACGATCTTGATTTCGATTTCGAATGAAGAGGCGTCAAACCACTCACTGACTCAGGGGGTTCCAAAGTTTGTTTCTTGGCGCCTCGATGTAGCATGCGCACTTCCTTTCCTGCCGTGAGTAGTGTTTTGGCGGTAATTTTGTAGCATCGGAGAAAATTTTTTTGTCTAGGTAGCGAGGTAACAACGGACTGACCACATCGTATAAGGTTTGAGGGGTTCCAAAGTGTTTGGCAATTTGGAAATTAGACTTAGTGGCTCCCCGAGAATTAGCGTACGTCAGCGGTGGCAACTAGGATTTTTTGGAATACCTGTACCTTTCCTACCCATACCCTCTTTGAAAACTAACCACTTTGGTCCACCCATACCGGATGTATAGATGGCCTAACGAACCTTTACCCATCCTTACCTACTCAAAAAAAACAAAAAGTGTACCCATGCATGCCCTACTTGAACCCCTTCAGACTGTAACTGCCCATAATTGCCCATTGACTTTCTGTTTCAAAACTACCCATGGCCACCTACACCCAAACCTTTTGTTAACCACCTGTATCGTACCCAACCAATTTTTTTTTTTTTTTTTCACCCCTACCTACCCGTACCCACCCACAATTGTATGCACCCACCCATAACCATCCGCACTTGTGACCCACCATCCCCTAACCACCCCTCACTGTCCCCAACCACCCCTCACTGCCCCTAACTGTCCCCAACTGCCCTTAACCGCCCCTTATCGCCCCTAACCGTCCCAACCAGCCCCAACCGCCCCTAGCCGCTCCCTATCTCCTCTAACTACCCTCCACGCAAGATTCATTCGATTTTTCTCATCCTATCGATGGAAATAGCGTGAGGCCAGCCACGGGGTTGGAGACTTACCTGTTCTCTCTCTCTCTCTCTCTCACACACACACACACACTCACTGTCCCCAACCACCCCTCACTGCCCCTGTCCCCAACTGCCCTTAACCGCCCCTTATCGCCCCTAACCGTCCCAACCAGCCCCAACCGCCCCTAGCCGCTCCCTATCTCCTCTAACTACCC